CATACATGCTATCAAAAATTTATTCCTATATCTATCTGTATATTAAAACTTATGGCATTTAACCAACACCTTCCAATTTTCAGGTTCACCTAATTTTCTTCTCCTTTCCCATTTTGTGAATTTTGTGACTTTTTTTTCCACAGATGAGGAGGAACGTGGCTTCCGTTTATATTACCATATTTTTTTTTTTTTTTTTTTTTGAGACGAGGTCTCGCCTCGTTGTCGCCCAGGCTGGAGTGCGTGGGCGTGATCTCGCCTCCCGGGTTCACGCCATTTCTCCCGCTCAGCCTCCCGAGTAGCTGGGACCTAACAGGCGCCCGCCACCACGCCCGGCTAGTTTTTGTATTTTTAGAGTAGGAGACGGGGTTTCACCATGGTTAGCCAGGATGGTTTCTCGATCTCCTGACCTCGTGATCCACCCGCCTCGGCCTCCCAAAGTGCTGGGATTACAGCTTGAGCCACCGCGCCGGGCCCATTACCATATTTTTACTTATCTGATCCATCTGCCTATCTGTCACCACCTCCAAAACAGGGGCTTTGTGGGTGGCCTTCTCCGCCTTGTAGAGGCTTCTGACTTCTGGGCCTGGTGCTACCAGGCGGTTTACCTACAGTTTAATGAAACGAAGAATGATATATTTTTAAAACCTATGATTTTTAGAATTTTGGGCGAATCACTTGAGATCAGAAGTTCAAGACCACCCTTGCCAATACGGTGAAACCCCGTCTCTACTAAAAATACAAAAATTAGCCAGGCGTGGTGACACACATCTGTAATCCCAGCTACTCGGGAGGCTGAGGAAGGAGAATCACCTGAACCTGGGAGGCGGAGGCTGTAGTGAGCCGAGACTGAGCCACTGCACTCCAGCCTGGGCAACTGAGTGAGACCGTCTCAAAAAAATAACAAAATTTAAAAAATAAAAAATAAACACCACTCTACTCTTAAACAGCTGCTTAAATATAGGTGATGGCACATACTTCTTGGCTGGCATTGGCTGCAACAAGGATTGCAAATCAAATCACTCTGCATTGCAACATCAACTTCAGCTGACTGGAAGTGACACCAAGATCGCTGGTCCCAAACTCTGCTGTTAGAATCACCCGGGAGAATCTGAAAACTCCCAGTGCCCAGGTCACATTCCATAACAAGGAACCCAGAGTGAAAGCCAGGCTTCAGAAGTCTTTAGAGGTTCCCAGGTATTTGCACTGGATAGCAAGGTCTGGGAACTGCAATCTCAAAAGATCATTTTTGAGAAGAATGCTGAAGCAGGGTACACCAGAAAAAAGCATCATGACCAACAAAGTCTGCCAGGGCACAACAAGGACAGCTCAGTCACATGCCACGGAGCTGCCACTCCTAAACGAGAAGTTAAAGGTAGATCAGTGCTGGGCACGGTGGCTCATGCCTGTAATCCCAGCACTTTGGGAGGCCCAGGCAGGCGGATCACGAGGTCAGGAGATCAAGACCACCCTAGCTAACATGATGAAACCCTGTCTCTACTAAAAATACAGAAAAATTAGCCGGGCGTGGTGGCGGCGCCTGTAGTCCCAGCTACTCGGGAGGCTGAGGCAGGAGAATGGCGTGACCCCGAGAGGCGGAGCTTGCAGTGAGCCGAGATCACACCACTGCACTCCAGCCTGGGCGACAGAGCGAGACTCTGTCTCAAATAAATGAATGAATGAATGTAGACCAGTGCCCACCAGAAGCAGGAAGGGCAGCTAACATCCTGTATCGCCTTTCCACATATTTGCTCATTCAACCAGGTGTATTTCATTAAATCAGAACTGAAAAGGGAGAAACAGAATTGAAAAAGAAAACCTTGAAGAGAAAATCTGCATAGTTAAGGAGTATTGGAATGCTTACCCTCAACTCTACTTCCATGCCGAGCAAGTCATACAGAGATGCTCCTTTGGAGGTGATTTCAGACGCAAGCTGCCTGGCTGCCTTCAAATCTGCAATCTGGAAGGAAAATAACAAAAACAGAACCCTCAGCAACAGATTTTTTTAATAGAGACAGGGTCTTGGCTAGGTTACCCAGGCTGCTCTCTAACTCCTGGCCTCAAGTGACCCTCCTATCTCAGCCTCCCAAAGTGTTGGGATTATAGGCAGAACCACCATGTTCAGCCACTCATAGATTTCTTTCTTTTTTTTTTTTCTGAGACGGATGGAGTTTTGCTCTTGTTGCCGAGGCTGGAGTGCAATGGCACGATCTTGGCTCACCGCAATCTCTACCTCCCGGGTTCAAGTAATTTTCCTTCCTCAGCTTCCCAAGTAGCTGGGATTACAGGTATGTGCCACCACGCCTGGCTAATTTTGTATTTTTAGTAGAGACAGGGTTTCTCCATGTTGGTCAGGCTGGTCTTTAACTCCTGACCTCAGGTGATCCACCCACCTCAGCCTCCCAAAGTGCTGGGATCACAGGCGTGAGCCACCGCGCCCAGCCAGCCACAGATTTTTAACATGCATTTAACCACCAGCCTGTTCATGTCAGCTCCTACCTTTGGTTGGGACACGTGACCACAAACATGTGCTTCCCCAGTCACACGCTCACAGGCTTCAGGACACACACTCAAGAAATAATCATCTAAGTACTAAAGAGACCAATTTCAGGATGCTTATGTCTCTCCAAAAAACCTAATGTCACATCAAACTGAAGCCCCAACCAGGAGGGCATGGCTGGGAGAAAGCCCACATACCTCCTACTTGGACTCTGTCACAGTAGAGGGTGTCCGGCAGCAGCAGAGTGACCACATGAAGGGACAGCCTGAGGGACACACATCCTCTTGCAGCAGCCTGACAGCCTGTGTTTTGTACCCCCCTGTCCTCCTTCTCTGCCTCAGACTTTCCTCCACAGGCTTGGAGAGGCTCAAATGGGTGGCACCCACTAAGGACTTACAATGGTTCTGGGCTCCACAGAGGGGCAGCTGTTGCCAGGAAGGCGATGACAAGCACAGTGAGGATTTAGCACCGATCCCTTTGCACAGGCTTTTTAGGATGCGCGTGTCACCCCCTCTTCCTGGAATATGCTAACTCTTCTAATGAGCCCAAACATAAACGTCTCCCTGCTCTGCTCACTCTCCCTCTCTCCTGGACAACTAATCCCCACGTTCTGGCTCTCATTTTCAACCCACTAGCAACAACTCTCCCTCTTCATTCGCAGCTGATGGCTTTGATAGCTTGCGTCCCTCTTCCTTAGTCCTCCAGGATCCAGCCTGCTCTGGCTCTAGCTGCTTTTCTCCCTTCCGAGCAGCACATTCCCAAACTTCTTTGCAGGAGTCTGTCACCTTCTCTGCTTCTCAACACTGGAGGGAGTCAGTGTCGTCCCGGGACCCCCTGTCTTTTCTGCTGGCTCTGCTCCTACCCACACGGCTTTAATACCATCTGTGTGCTGATTCCTCCCCCAGCTCCCAGATCCAGCCTGGGCTTTCCCTGGGCTCTAGTCTCACATACTAGCTACCTGCACACCATCTCCACCCGGACAGCCAATGGGCGTGGCAAATGGAGCATGTCCAGAACCGTCTCTGCTTCAGTACATGGCAACCTCATCCTTTCAGGGGCTCACATAAAAAACTTCAGAGCAGTGATGTCTAATATAGTAACCACTAGCCACATGTGGCTATTTTCACTTAAATTACTTACAAATTAAAGAAAATGCAGAACTCAACTCAGTTCCTCAGTTGTGCTCGCCACATGTGGCCAGTGGTTCCTGTAGAGTACAGCACAGAGGTGGAACACACCCACAAGCTCTGCAAGCTCTGCCACACAGCTGCCCCAAGACCTTGCCTGTAGCACCTGGTTTACTCTCAACCCACGCCTCATCCTATGAGATCTACCATCAAAATATGCCTCAATCTCTAGACACTTCTGCTGACAAGTGTCGCTCCTGGTTAAAAACCCATGTGTGAGGCCAGGCGCAGTGGCTCACGCCTATAATCCCAGCACTTTGGGAGGCCGAGGCAGGCAGATCACCTGAGGTCAGGAGTTTGAGACTAGTTGGCTGACATGGTGAAACCCCATCTCTACAAAAAAAAAAAAAAAAAAATACAAGGCCGGGCGCAGTGGCTCATGCCTGTAATCCTAGCACTTTGGGAGGCCGACACGGGTGGATCACCAGGGTCGGGAATTCAAACCAGCCTGACCAACATGGAGAAACCCTGACTCTACTAAAAGTACAAAATTAGCCGGGTGTGGTGGCGCATGCCTGTAATCTCAGCTACTCAGGAGGCTGAGGCAGGAGAATCACTTGAACCTGGGAGGCAGACATTGCGGTGAGCTGAGATCGTGCCATTGCACTCCAGCCTGGGCAACAAGAGTGAAACTCCATCTCAAAAAAAGAAAAAAAAAAAAAAATTAGCCGGGCATGGTGGTGTGCACCTGTAATCCCAGCTACTTAGGAGGTTGAGGCAGGAGAATCTCTTGGACCTGGGAAGCGGAGGCGCAGTGAGCCAAGATCGTGCCATTGTACTCCAGCTTGGGCGACAGAGTGAAACTCTGTCTCAAAACAAAACAAAACAAAACTAAACATCTATGTGTGACTTTTCAAGCCCAACCAAGGCCTCACCTAGCAGGCCTCACAGGGGAAGCTTTCTTCCCTGCACCAGACTTGGAGCTCGGCCAGCACACTGTGGTTTCAGGCACCCTGCGTGGCCACGCTCCTAGGTGCATTCCCAGCCCCGGGGCCTTCTTTCCTAGGTCTCTTGCTCTGAGGCCTTGGGCTTAACTAAAGGCTTAACCCTTATTTCTGGCTTGCTGCTGCAGTGGCTCCCTGACACCTGACAGCGCCTCTCCCACCACCACTCTGCTCAAAGCCATGGTCACCCCTCACTCTTCAAACAGGTTCGCTGCTTCCAGTCCTGCCTCCCGCTTCAGTCTGATGGCAGCTCAGCAGCCAGAGCAACCCTTTGGATGGGAAATAAGCACAGAAGATTCTGCTTGGTTCCCAATAATTCCCACCTCAGAGGCAAAGGCAAAGGCTTTCCAGGGGCTTCCCAGGCACTAGAGGGTCTGTCACTCCCAACCCTCATCACATTGCCTCCTTGCTTTTTCTCAAACACACAAAACACATTCTTTTTTTTTCCCCCCCAGATAAGGTCTCGTTCTGTTGCCTAGGCTGGAGAGCAGTGGCCTGAACATGGCTCGACTGTCTGGGCTCAAGAGATCCTCTCACTTTAGCCTCCTGAGCAGCTGGGACCACAGGTATGCACCACCACGCCTTGCTAATTCTCTTCTTTATTTGGTAAAAATGGCATCTCACTATGTTGCCCAGGTTGGTCTCGAACTCTTGGCCTCAAAGGATCCTGCCACCTCAGCCTCCCAAAATGCTTGGCTTACAGAAGTGAGTCACCGCACCCAGCCCCAAACAAATTCTCATCCTGAGACACCCTGTCGCCACCCGCCAACTGCACAACTCACTCTTTCCCTCCCTCAGATCTCTGCTGGAAACACCATCCAACCTATGAGGCCTTCCTAATCGCCCTATTTAAGATCACCCCGGGCAGCGTCCATCCCCATCCCAGCTTATTATTCTCCGCAGACTGCACTGCATCTGACCTTCCACACCTCTTACATTATTGTTCACAGTCTGACTCCTCCAACTAAAGAGCAGAAACACATGATTTCTGTCCTTTTTGTCCACAACTGTATCCCCAGCGCTTGAATGCTACCTGACAAATACAAAGCTTTTAATAAATAGTTGAATTACTGGATTGTGAATTTGCCTTTATCCAAACGCTGATGAGCACAAAACTGACAAACTGCCCTCAGTTGAGGAGGAAGAAAAGCAGCGGAGCTGTATCAGACTCCTTCCATTTCAGAGTTCAAGAAATCAATGCTCCATCGCTCACTACAAGGCTTTCGTTGTCCTTACCTTTGAGCCAAGATCAAACTTGAATTTGTTGACATCTTCCTCTACTATTTCAGAGCCCTCCATCCCCTTGGTCTTCATAGCATTATAAAGGACAGATGTGATCTTCAACAGCTCTTTTACTGCATACCCATCTGCTTGATAAAGCTTCTTAGTGTTGAGTTTTATATGTGCCTTGGTGGCCTATTTTTAGACCAAAAAAAAAAGTTGAGGGCCCTTTCCATGTAATGTCTAAACCAAATCCCATGTAGGTAAGTTGAAAATGCCTCTGCTGACAACTGGGATACAACCTAGTAAGAGTAAGCATTCAAGTGACTCAAACATTGTGAGTGGGTATATAAACTAGGACAATCTTGATGGAAAGCAACTTGGTAAAAGACGCCAAAATTACAAATGCACATATCTTTTGATCCAGCAATTCCAAATCTAAGAACTTATTCTAGGCACACACTCAAACAAAAACAAAATGAGATGTACAGGGTACTTGTTATAGCACTGTTTCAAACAGCAAAGCTTGAGACAACCTAAAAGCCTACTTATATAAATTACATAAATTATGGCATATCCATGCAAACAATACCACTCAGGTGTAAACAGAATGAGGAAATTCTATATGTATTTGGAAAGTTCTCTAAAATATACCACTAAGTAAAACAAGATGCTAAACACCTTGTAGTGTACAGTAAGTACATCAAGTAGTATACAGTACCATTTGTTTAAAATAAAGGAAAAAAATATTTTTATTTGCAGATACACACACACACACACACACACACTCTGGAAGAGATTTAAAATAGTGATTATTTGGAATAGAACTCAGCCCAGGACAGATAGTGTAGAAAGTCATTTTACTCCATTTTGTTACATAATGTTTGTAATTAATTAATTTATTTTTTTAAAGATAGGGTCTCACTCTGTCACCTGGGCTGGAGTGCAATGACATGATCATGGCTCACTGCGGCTTCAACCTCCCGGGCTCAAGCAATCCTCCCACCTCAGCCTCCCAAGTAACTGAGACTACAGGCACATGTCACCAGACCCACCTAATTTTTTTTAAATTTATTTTTTGTAGAGACAGGATCTTACTACATCACCCAGGCTGTTCTCAAACTCCTGGACTCAAGCTATCCTCCCACCTTGGCCTGCTAAAGTGCTAGGATTACAGGCATGAACAACCAAGCCCAGCCTACTTTCAATCTGTGAGCCACGAAATATGTTACCTATTCAAAAATAAAGAAACAAAATTCTTTTTTTTTTTGATAGAGTCTTGCTCTGTTGCCCAGGCTGGAGTGCAGTGGTGTGATCTCAGCTCACTGCAAGCTCCGCCTCCCGGGTTCACACCATTCTCCCACCTCAACCTCCCAAGTAATTGGGACTACAGGCACCCACCACCACACCCAGCTAATTTTTTGTATTTTTAGTGGTTAGCCAGGATGGTCTCAATCTCCTGACCTCGTGATCCGCCTACTTCAGCCTCCCAAAGTGCTGGGATTACAGGCATGAGCCACCATGCCTGGTATAAACAAAATTCTTAACAAATAACGAATTAAAAGACAAACAAACAAAAAGAACTTCGCTGGTGAAATGGCGCCACAGAAACCCAGCAATGGAATGGTTTTAGAAGGCAAACTCAGGCCAGGCATGTGGTGGCTCACATCTGTAATCCCAACACTTTGGGAGGCCAAGGCAGGTGGATCACGTGAGGATGGGAGTTTGAGACCAGTCTGGCCAACATGGTGAAACCCAGTCTCTACTAAAAACACAAAAATTCGCCAGGTGTGGTGGCGTGTGCCTGTAATCTCAGTTACTCAGGAGGCTGAGACAGGAGAACCCCCCAGGAGGTGGAGGTTGCAGTGAGCCAAGATTGCACCACTGCACTCCAGCCTGGGCGAGAGATGAGACTCCATCTCAAAAAAAAAAAGAAAGAAAAATTCAATTACTCAGTTTCAAAGTAGCCCTAACGAGGAGTCATCCTTTCTAGTTTACTTAATTTTACAACTCCACAAAATAAGTGTCCACTAACCATGAACTGGGCAATTGCCTTAATGAAGAAAACTCGGTCCTGTTCAGTGTCCACGTCAGGCGGGATGTCAGTCTGGGGCTCATACCTATCAGAGAGGTAAGAGGAGAGAGCACAGGTTAACCAAGGAGGAAGTCCACTAAAGAGAGTGTGGGCAACTGAGAGGACAGGGGGTCTGGAACAAAGCTCTCCAAGTCCCCAAGTGTGACAGTAAGATCAATGCAAACTTCAAAAGTAAAACCAAAATACCAAGGGAGCAAATCCCCACCTAAGAACAAAAGATTTCAAAAACTAAATGTGGGTCTCAGCTTATAAAATTAAATCTCTCTCAGACCTCAACATGTCATGAAACTAATCAGAACTGCTACCCTGGCTGACGGCCCTTGACTCAGAGCAGTGCTAGGGCTGATTAGTCAGCTCTAAGCAGCAGCAGAGTTGACGAAGTTATTTTCTTCAAGGTATTGATACCAGGGGTCAGCAGACTGCAACCTCCAACCTGTACAGCCTCCAAACTAAGAACTCTTTTTACATTTTAATAAAAAGAAGAGACAATAGAGATCGTATGCAGTCTCTTAATTTTATGTTTAGCAAAGGTAAAATGTTTATTATCTGGTCCTTAACAGAAAAAGCTGCCAACCCTGAATCATATATCATATTCAATTTTTGACAGAAAAAGAAACCTACATTATTTCTAATCAACTGTATTGATTAGAACGTGCAAAAAGGCCCCTGTCACTCTGCAGTGAGGGGCTGAAGAGCAGCCTGGCCCAGCACCCTACTGAGGAATAGTCAGTCTCCTTTCACCACTTCCTGGTATATTTCCCTCTCCCACAGCCTTTTTAAAACTCCACTGATTTTTTCTTTTTTTTTTTTTTGAGACACAGTCTCAATCTGCCCGGGCTGGTGTGCAGTAGCATGATCAGTGGCACTGCAGCCTCAAACTCCCAGGATCAGGTGATCCTCCTCCCTCAGCCTCCTGAGTAGCTGGAACTATGAGTGTGCACCACCCACGCTCAGCTAATTGTTCTTTTGTGTGTGGAGACAGGGTCGTGCTATGTTGACCAGGCTGGTCTCGAATTCCTGAGATTATAAAGTGCTGGGATTATAGGAACGAGCCACTGTGCCCAGCCACAGCTACGTTTCAACAGATTACAATTGGGTCTGTCAAACTCAAACAACTCTTCCTTTTGCAGCATCACAACCATGTCCTGTTTTCTAGGTGACTAACAAATAAAATCCAGCATTCACTCTTAGACATCAATAAAGTGCACTTCTAACCTTTTCACAAGCCAGAGAAGCACTTCAGATACAAGTCCAAAATTGGGTGTACGGAAATTTTCCATAGAAATATGTCGAGGGTATCCCAGGGCTCTCATCATCTCTGTGAAATCTGTCCAAGGAAAAATATAATTCATTCAGTTCCCTGCCACATAGCAACTACTTGTTAACTTAGATATTGTCTTTACTTTTCCTTCTTATTGCCAATCTATTGACAGCTTTAGGGATTATCTGTCAACTTTCTACAAGGGAACATAAAAAAGAGATAAAATTTAAAATACCAAAAAAAAGCTACTAAAAAGCATGTAAGTTCAATGGGAAGTAGATGGCTATTACATGAAAATAGAATTGAGGGATTAGCTGTAATTTCATCTCTCTTAATATCTCATTTCTTTTTTACTGCTAAAAGTAAGAAACACCTGTCCTTATAAAATGTCATGAAGAAAGGGGCCGGGCGCGTGGCTCCAGAGCTGTAATCCAGCACTTTGGGAGGCCGAGACGGGTGGATCACGAGGTCAGGAGATCGAGACCATCCTGGCTAACACGGTGAACCCCGTCTCTACTAAAAAATACAAAAAATTAGCCGGGGGTGTGCGGGCGTCTCTGGTCCCAGGCTACTCGGGAGGCTGAGGCAGGGAATGGCGTAAACCGGAAGGGCGGAGCTTGCAGTGAGCTGAGATCGGCCACTGACTCCAGTCTGAGCCACAAGCCAGACTCCTTCTCAAAAAAAAAAAAAAAAAAGTCATGAAGAAAAAGTATTTTTATCTTTTCTTTTTCTTTTTTTTTTTTTTTGAGACGGAGTCTCGCTCTGTCCCCAGGCTGGAGTGCAGGTGCCTGATCTCGGCTCACTGCAAGCTCGCCTCCCGGGTTCACGCCATTCTCCTGCCTCAGCCTCCGGAGTAGGTGGGACTACAGGCGCCGCCACCACGGCCGGCTAATTTTTTTTGTATTTTTAGTAGAGACGGGGTTTCACTGTGTTCGCCAGAATGGTTCTCGATCTCCTGACCTCATGATCCGCCCGCCTTGGCCTCCCAAAGTGCTGGGATTACAGGCGTGAGCCACTGCGCCCGGCCTAGAAAAAGTATTTTTAAACGTCAACAGTGGTCTGACTCAAATTCAGCTGATTAAAAATTATTTTAAAATGTTAACAGTGGTTATTTCTGAGGCGAATCGGTAGGATAACATTCATGTTTCTGAGTTGTCTTTTTTTTTTAATTTTAGTGAGCATATAGGACCCAAATAACATGTTTTAAAGATCAGTTGCCATGTATTTAGGGAAATCTTAAATACAGTGGTTGAACTACACAACCATGTTTAGATTTATTACAAAACAGATTAAGTAACAGTATTACTAATACTTGTTGATCCATAGGTTGGGGTCACCTCGGGAAAAGCATTAGTGCTTTCAAGAGAGGAGGACTTGGAAATGAACACCACAAACATTGTTGAGCTCCCATGATGTACCAAGATTTACATTCAGTGTGCTTCCTGGTTATTTAAGGTCTGTCTGCACTCTTCTTGAAGATTCATGTTCAAAATGGTCCATCAATGTTCACAAATAACCTACCCGGGTACTGGAAGTCAGGTCAGACTTCGCAAGACAATGGAAGAAAAAGTGTGAGCACAGGAAAACAGCAAAGTCACAAAGGGACTCTGTAACTGTTTTCTGGGAAATGTGAATATGGAGATTAAAAAAAAAATAGTTGGGTGTGGTGGTGCATGCCTGTGGTCCCAGTTATTCAGCAGGCTGAGGTGTGAGGATCACCTGAGCCCAGGAGGTTGCAGTGAGCTGAGATCATTGTGATGCACTTCCGGCCTGGGGTAAAGGGTGAGACCCTCGTTCCCAGAAGAGAAAAATACAAAAAAATGGCCGGGCGCGGGTGGTTCCGTATGGCCTATGTGATCTCAGCACCTTTGGGCCGAGGAGAGGTAGATTCACCTTGAGGTCAGTGAGTTCAAGACCAGCCTGGGCTAATATGGTTGAACCTCACCTCTCTAAAATACAACGTTGCTGGCTACGTGGCTCACGCCTGTATCCTCAGACTTTGGGATGGCCGAGTGGCGTCAGATGAGGTCTACAGGAATTGCGGGACCGTCCTGGCTCCCGGTTGAACCATTGCTGACAAAATACAAAATACAAATGTGGTGGCAGCCCGGGGTCCCAGCTCTCTGGAGGCTCGAGGCAGGAGAAATGGCGTAGGAACCCGTAGGTATTGGTCGGAGCTTTGTAGTGAGCCGAGTTGGTTTTGTATCAGCTGGTGCGACTCCAGCACTGGGCGACCAGAGCAGATTCGCATCGCGCAGAAAATAAGAATAGAATAAATGTAAACAGAAATACGAAAGAGTTAGGTGGGTGGGTGGTGGCGGGACCTATGAATCCGATTTGAAGGACTGGGGGCAGTTGAGAAGTCACTTGAACCTGGGGAGCAGAAGTTGCGTGAGCCAAGGTACCACCTTGCCCTCCAGACTGGGCAAGAGGCAGCCTTTCCTTCAACAGTTAGGCACTGCCTAAATACTTTGATTACTAGGTACTAGTCAAGTTCTGTTAATGTTGCAGTGTTATTGTCAAAATAGAGACTAATTTGAGTAAGATCCTTACCATACAACGCACAACTGCAGAGCATTAATTTAAAGTCAAAATATTTTGAAATCTCCGTGTATGGTCTTCCCAACAAAACCCCATTCTACGTCCCCTGGCAGGGTGCTGGCCTCTCTAAAAACTATGTGGGAGGAGACACTCATCCTATATGATGTGTGGCCACCAAAAACCTTCAAACTCCAGAGGACAGGATTCACACTCTGGTGCTCAGTGGCTGCATGAATAAAAGGTAATGCGTTTTCCTAGATATTTTTACATTGTAGAAAAGAGCAATTCATAACCAAAGGAGTAATCTCTAATGCTAAAATTTCAGGCACCAGCAATTTGCTGAGACCCCTAAGATCACACCAAAATAGCACTCATCTACTATTCCTTTTTTTTTTTAAAGACCATTCCACTCTTCGCCCGGATGGAACAGTGGTATGTCCTGCAACTCGCCTCCAGGGATCAAGCAATTCTCCTGCCTCAGCTTCCCGAGAGCTGGGACAAGTGTGCCCGCCACATGTCATTTTTTAATTTTTAGCAGCGCGGGGCTTTCACCATGTTGCCAGCCTTAGTCCTTGAATTCCCTGACCTCAGCTGATCCGCTGCTCCGTCTTCCAAACTGCTGGGATTAAACAGGCGTAGCACTTGTGCCCAGTCGTAACCAACCTCTTAGCCTCATTCTTCCACTTCCCACCCGCTCTAGCAAAGGAATCGAGCTCCCTTCCTCCTGCTTGGCGGATCAGACGAGTTCAGGAGGTCTGGAGTTCAGGCCACCTGAACAAGTCCCTAGTGCCACCACCTAGTCGCTTGGCACCTGCTCAAGTTACCTACCTCTCTGTCCCGTTCCTCACTTCCAGAGCAGGCGGAACAAGTGTTCCAATGATAAAGAAAGCACATAACCAGAGTGCGGTCCTGGCAGACTCGTAAAACCAAAACATGTTACTGCATGACATCCCCAGCCCCTCTCCGTCAGTTTCGCGCTGTTTTGTGTTTTGGTTGGGGTTTTTGGTTGTTGTTCGTTTGTTGGTTAGAGGAGGTCGCTCGCCCACAGCTGAATGCAATGTCGTTCGACTCGCAACCTCGCTCCCGGTTCAAGCGATTCTCTGCTTCCGCCTCGAGTAGTGGGATACGCCGCCCCCCCCGCGGCGAATTTGAATTTTAAGTAGAGACGGGTTCCTTCCCTGGGCAGCTGGTCTTCTCAGAATCAGCGTCTTCGCGCCCCGGCCTCCCAGATGCGGGATTACAGCGTGACCAACAAGCCGCGGCGTGCTGTTCGTTTTCTAACGCGAAGCACCTCCCAAAAAAGT